GCCTTTTATTTCTCTCTCTTGTCTAATTGCTCTGGCTAGTATTTCCAGTACTATATTAAATAGGAGTGGTGATAAGGGACATCCTTGTCTTGTGCCTCATTTTAAATTAAGGCCTTCAATTTTTGGCCATTTAGTATGATACTGGCTATTGGTTTGTTGTAGAAGGCCTTTATTATATTGAGGTAAAGACAATCTATTCCAATTTTCTGCAAGGTTCTTATCATAAATGAATGTTGGACCTTATCAAGAGCTTTTTCTGCATCTATAGAAATGATCATGTGATTCTTACTTTTGCCTCTATTGATATGGTGGATTACATTTATTGATTACATATATTGAACCATCTCTGCATGCCTGGGATGAATCCCACTTGGTCATGGTGTATGATCTTCTTGATGTTTGGCTGCATCCTATTTGCCAATATTTTATTCAGGATTTTTGCATCTGTGTTCATTAGGGAGAGTGGTCTGTAGTTCTCTTTTTCAGTTGGGTCTTTCTCAGGTTTTGGTACTAGTGTAATATTTGCTTCTAGGAACGATTTAGGAAGCATTGCTTCCCTTTCAATTTCATTGAAGAATTTAGAGTATTGGCATTAAATCTGCTCTAAATTTATTGTAGAATTCAGCTGTGAATCCATCAGGACCTGAGCTTTTCTTTGTTGGTAAGTTTTTAATTATGATTTCAACGTCCATAGCTGATATTGGGTTATTCAAAATTGCTATATCATCTTGGTTGAGCTTTGGTAGTTCCTATGTTTCTAGAAATCTGCCCATTTCCTCTGTGTTTTCCACTCTATGTGAGTAGAGATTTTCAAAGTAGGTATTCATGATCTTTTGAATTTCCATGGGATCCGTAGTAATTTCCTCCTTTGCAGCCCTTATTGCATGAAATTGGGTTTTTTGTTTTTCTTTACAAGATTAGCTAGAAGTTTGTCAGTTTTGTTTATTTTCTCAAAAAACCAGCATTTTTATTCATTAATTCTTTGTAGTTTTTTCCTTTCAATTGCATTGATTTCTGCTCTAACCTTTACAATTTCCTCTCTTTTATGAGCTTTGGATTTAACTTGCTCTTCTTTTTCTAGAAGCTTGAGATGAAGCATTAGGTTGTTTATCTGTGCTCATTCTGTTTTCTTGATATGACAATTTGTTGCTATATATTTCCCTCTTAAGACCACATTCCCACAGGTTTCAATATGTTGTTTCTGCATTTTCACTGAATTGTAAGGATTGCTTTATTTTTTCTTTAATTTCATCTGTAGCCCACTGGTTGTTTGGAAAGTTGTTATTTAATTTCCATGTATTTATGCAGGTTTTGCACTTTCTTTTGTCATTAATTTCCAGTTTCAGTGCACTATGGTCAGATAGTACACATGGCATAATTTCAATACCTTAAGAATGTTGTATGGGTAATATATGGTCTGTTTTGGAGAATGTCCCACGTGCAGCTGAGAAGAATGTGTATTCTGATGTGATTGAGTGGAACACTATGTAAACATCTACTAAGTCCAATTGGTTGCAGGTATGATTCAGTTCTATTATTTTTTTGCTAGCTTTTTGTCTAGTTGATCTATCTCTTTGTGACAATGGGCCATTAATTGTTGTGTTCTTGTATATTTGGTTTTCCACATTCATTAGTATTTGTATTATATAATTGGGTGCTCCTGTATTTGGTGCATATATATTTATAATTGTTAGTTCTTCCTCTTAAATTTTTCTACTAACAAGTATGTAGTGACCTTTTTTTATCTCTTTTAATCATTTTAGGTTTGAAGCTCACATTGTCTACAAATAGAATAGTTACCCCTTATTTTTTCTGGGTTCCTGTTGCATGGAATACTGTTTTCCATCCTTTGACTTTTAATCTGTGAGTTTCCTTTTGGGTCAGATGTGTTTCTTGTATACAGAATATTGTGGGATCATGTTTCTTGATCCATTCTGTTAGCCTATTTCTTTTGACAGATGAATTGAGGCCATTTATATTTATGGATTTCATTAATATGTACTGCTCGACTTTGCCATGTTATGCTCCAGTTGTTTATTTTCTGCTTTCCCCCCTTGTTTAATTGCTTGTCCTACCTGATGGTTTCTTTCTGTTGTTGTTCTGGGGATTGTGGTCATTTTTATCTCTGTCTAGTATGTCTTTCAATACTCTTTCTAGGGTTGGTTTGCTGGACATAAATTTCTTCAGTTGTTTTTGTCATGGAAGTATCTTGTTTCTCCACTAAATTTGAATGAAAGTTTTTCTGAATACATCAGTGTGGGTTGAAAGTTGTTTTCTTTCAGGGCTGAAATACCTCACACCAAGCTTGTCTTGACCTGAGGGTTTGTGCTGAAAAGTCTGCTGTGCTTGTAATGGGTTTTCCTTGATAGGTGAGTTGTGTCTTTTCTCTAATAGCTTTTAATATTCAGTTTTTTATGTTATATGTCTGAGATCTTAATTATTATTGTCTGGGTGTAGATTTATGTTGGTTGTGACTGTTTGACATTCTATACTCCTCACTTATCTGCATATCAGATTTTTTCTCCATGTTTGGGAAATTTTTTGGCTATTATTTTGTTGAATATTTCAGTTAGTCATATGCATTGACTCCTGCATCTTCACTGATGCCTATTCACCTTACACTGTTTCTATTGGCATCATTTTGAAGCTGCTGGATTGTCACTTCATGCTTCTTTGTTATTTTTAAAGGTTCTGTTCTTCATGATGCTAATGTGATCCTGTCACAAGGTTGGAAATGCTATCTTCAGCTTCATTAAACAGTTTTGCCAGCTTTGAATAAAATTTTTGTTTCTTAGATGTCTCTTTGAGTTTGTTTCATGAATTCTGCTTGTTTTCTATATTGTTCATTCAAGGTTTCAATCAGTTTCCCTTGCTCCTGTACTTTTTTTCTCTATTTCTTCTTTAGCTGTGCTTAGCAACTCCTTTACTAATGTTGTTATTTCTATTTTTACATGGGATTTGATTTCCTCTATAGCATCATGGGGTTGTTTTTTATTTCACTCACTATCTTTTCAGAGATCTCTGGTGTGTTACTTTTGAAGTCCTCTATTTCAATGTCTCCTGTACTTGCTCCTGGTAGACTAGATTCTGAGATTGCATTTTGCTTTTTCGTTTTGCCATTTTTCCCTTTTGAGTTAATATTTGGTCCTTCAATCCCACTAGTGTCCACTGTTGGTAGTGTGTATCTTGGGGTCCTGATGTAAGGTTGATGTTTGTCCAATTGTTGGGTCCCTCAATGAACACAGGTAGGCCAGTCATTTGACTTCCCCCTGCAGAGCCTGTTGGGTGGGTCTTATATTCTTCCTGCTCTGACAAGCTAGTAGTATTGATGTAGGTAAACTTTTAGTTGCTGTTATTTTATCTTCAGGTTATTCCAGGTCACCAAATCTCCCTGCCTATAGTGTTTGTGTAGGCTGAGGTCCTACTGTGTCCCTCTTGTGTGCCTGGGTGTCTCATAAGCCCTTTTGATTTTCTTCAAGTTGAGGGAGTCCTCATTGGCACGCTCCTTGCCCTGCCTAATGTTTTCTGTGTGCAGAAATGTTTTCTGTGTGCACACTCTTGTCAGAGTCACCAAGGTATTACAGTTAGTTGGAGGGAGCTTTTCTACTGGCCCTATTTACCCACTGTACACCTCTATTGTATGGGTATACTCACTATACTGACTGGAGCCAGTTGAGATCTTTTGTTTGGGTGAGGAAGTTACTGAATCTCCACTCAAGATAGCACAGTTAATCTACTGTAGTCCAAGGTTCTGGGAGAAAGGTTGGAGCTGAAGATCAACAATAGTATTAGGTCCAGGAGTAGGGAGTGTCCCCGAGGGGCCAGCAGATGTCCTGGGTCTGGCATCTGCTGGGCATGGGCCAAGGTCCCAGGGTGGTGTGGTGTTCCTCAGTGGCAGCTCAATATATATAATTTTAATAAATCTGTATAAAAATAGCATCATGTGGCTAGTGGTTACCATACTGAGTAGTGTATCTTTAAATTCTCAATCATGGCCTTCAAGGTTTTCCTCTTCACTCTGCAGCATCTCTGGGTGGCAGGATGAGCTATCCTGCCTCAACTGATATTTATTTATTCATATTGAAGATAATAATGGGATGTACTAGTTATTAATTAGCTACATACACAAATATTAATTAGATACAACTGAAGATATTATGTGTAACTAGATATGGTTGAGACTATTAATTAGATATAAGTCATAATGTATGAATTACTTGTGATAACTCACCCTTCCATGTCTCTTCCTTCAACTTCCTTCAATCAGGTTTGGTTGACAAATACCTTAATTTTGGCTAGAATTCTGTAGATATGACCATGGTCATAATAGGTACTTGTAGAAGTTTCATTGCATTGGCATTATAAAAGAATATAAAATTATTTCTAAATTCATAAAAGAAAATTGTGAATGCATGAACTTTAACAATAACTGTTTCCCTTCAGTGGTCCCCACCATAGTGATCCTTTCCTGAAGGTGTTCTTGCTCCCCAGGGAACTTGGCAGTGTCTGGAGTCATTTATGTGGTCACAACTTGTTGGTGTACTAGTGGCATGTGCTTTGTAGTGGTAAGGAATATTGAAAGCAGTGGTCTCTTCACCTAGCAAAGACTATCTTTGACAAAATGTCAGTTATGCAAAGGTTGAGAAACCCTACACTGTAGTGATAATTGAAAGAGAATAGGTTAGGACTTCCTGACATAAATAAATTTTAATATATACAATACGATATTAGGTGGGATAAGATAGACTCTCATTTATTGTGCTAAGAAAAATTTAGCAAATACTCATCTTATTAACTAATTAAACTGGAAAAGGAGAAAATAAAAATTTAGATGCACAGAATAAATTTGAGTTTTGTTTAATATTGGTCTACAGTCATGTACAGTACTAAAAATATAATTATACACATATGAAAATGAACATTATATCTTAAAAATCAAGCTATTCCAAAGATGCTTTCTTGATTTAGTTAATATTTTCTATAAATATTATTCTGAAAACAATGGCTGAGATTTTAACAGTAAATATTACAGTATAAAGTCTTTGTAACAATCATATAAAATTATTTGTGGTAGTCTTGATTTATTTTGACTTATTTCTTAAGTTGTTTATGAACATGTAATTTATATTGACTTCTTATTCTGCAGGTTCCTCAGTTTTTCTGAAGCTCATTGAAAATAAAATTGTCTAAATAAAATGTACTAAGAGATTAAAAAAATGTACAAGTGGGCCAGGAATTTAGCTCAGTGGCATTAGTTCCTGCCTGGCAAGTGCAAGGTTGTAAGTTCAATCCCTGGTACAAAAAAGTACAAGAGAAAGTAAACATGCACAGGAATTGAGGCTTCTTTCATTATTAGATTCAGTAGCTTATTTTAATTGAAATTTTGCCTCTTTACATTTCAAATTAATGACAAGGCTAAGCAACTTTGCCTTTAGTTTTTGAATACTTAAAGACAATTTTACATGGTTCCCAAAAGAATTCTGTGCAAGATATTATTTAAAGTTTTGTTGATGTCTGATCCTATGATTCATTCATTGCTTCAAAATATACACTACTGTAATTTTTAAAAAAGAATTTGACATGTGCACCATTGAGTGTAAATATAAATGTCAGCTATCCTTAGTTTTAGAGAGAGATTAAATGGCCATCCAAGGCCAAGGGAGATGCACTCCCTACAGTCTTTGGGTTAGTCCCGGCCAAAGCTAAATATTTGGACTTGTCTAGTCAGTGGAGCAACAAATTTATGATGAGGATTATTTGATGAGGAAAACAAAACCTTTGGAGCTATCTTGGAAGAGAGGCGTGCTCAATCAGGAAAATGCTCAGCTCGTTGATGCTTTGCTGTTAGATTACACTGAAATGAATAGCATGGAGCGGTCTAGGACGGGAGCAGGGAGGGAATCCGAGATGCTCCAGGAAGGGCCGGACTTTGTGGCGCTGACAGTGTCCTCTGTGCTCAGCGGCAGCAAAACTGTGGGAGAGGTGAGAGGAATTCTGCCTTTCCACATTCAAGGGGAAGGTGGACCTTAGGGCAATACGCACAGTAACATGCGCTGAGCATAACGTGAGATCACACCTGGCACTCAGGGTTCAGATGGGGAGGTAGCTGTTGAGTTAAATGTTAGTCTTAGATTTAATCCAGTCTCGATAATGAGTCACTCTGGTGTACAGTCCCGGCTTGTTTTCTGTTCCACAGCCTATTCCCCAGCTTACGATTCCAATAAGATACCAGATATTTTGATCTCGTGCAATGACCAGAGGTCCTCCAGAATCACCCTGTAGGAAAAAAAAACACAGTTCACATGATGAGTAAAACAGGATAAAAATGAAAGTTAATAAACATCTCCAGGTCTAGCAAACAAGTGATTTTCAGGGCTAAATTCTTTTGATTTACAATTAGTACTAATATGATCCGTGAGTTTATTGCATTATCCCTATAATGTCTTCAGCGGGAAAGTGATGTGAATGACAATGGTTTTACTTTTACCTTCGTAAAATTTTTAGTTTTTCTCTGCCTAAAGAGAGAATTCTGTTCAGCCCAGCCTGAATTTAAGTCCTGGCATCTTATATAGAAGGTGATTTCAAAACTGAAATGTCACCTTCTCCTAACTCTGCTAGCTGGAGATAACCTGTTGCTTTAAATTAGACTCTCACCTCATTCCAGTCACACTAATTGATGGAAAAATGTCCGGACATTGTAACAAATGTGTAGTCAAAGGATTTTTGCCTTCACACTAAAGTGGAATCCTTAGCCCTGCTGGGTAAATTTCAAGTATCTCTATCATGAAGACTTTCCCATTATTGTCAGCCCAATGTTCAGACAAAGGGTTTAAAATTTATCTTTGGCAATGGACCTGAGCGTCGAAAAGAAACATCATGTGAAAGCCTATTACAACTTTTAAGGAAGGAGAAACGATCCTGTTGGGATGATCCCACTGGGGTGCTAGAGTCCTGAGGCTCTAGCTTTTCTCTTCCTTCTGCTCTCTTCTTCCTCATTCCCTCTGGGGTTTGGTGCAGTATGTGAAAAGCCGGATCTACCAAAGCAAAGCTCCTGGCCTTTGCCCACATCCTCATTTCAGTCCTCCTTGTCTTCCTGTGCTGATGGGAATATGAACAAGGAAGAGTAACCAAAGGGGGAAGAACAGCTGACATGGGCGACTACTTAGGTCACACCATCCAGCTTACTGCAGGCCACTCGCTGCTTCTTCTAGGGAAGTAAGGAGAGTGGCAGGATATGGGTATTGCAGAAAATGCAATTCATCTTACCTTCTTTTGTTTCAGTTTCTTATTTGCCAATTAGATTGCAAATCCATCATGCATTGTGTTTCTTGGATGTTGAAGTTTCCTTCAGTATCTGACACACTACCTTGCAGTTCACAAAACATTTTAATGAATAAGTGAGTGAATGTTTGTTATCACTGAATGTCAACCAATGGCAGATGAACAGTGGCTCCTTTGCATGTAAGAAAAGTGCTCATAGATATCAATTTCTCAAAGCCAATCTTACTTAAGGAGTGCTAAATTACTGTACCAGTTTTAAATTCTACAGGCAAAGTCTTTAGTATTCAGTTATGTAAGTTTAGTCTTCTTAATAGCCAGATGTTAGAAATCATTGTCTGTAAGCTTAATGCTTCAAATTAAAGTTTTGCTTCATGGGATAAAATGCTATTTATTTAATTTATTTCTAGGCAAGGACTGAGAAAATACTTTAGAAGAAATAAGTATATATAAATCTGTACTTCTTATGTTTTGTTTCAAATAGTATAATTCTATCTAACAGGACTGTACTTAAAGTCAAATGTTTAGATAGCAATTAGGCTCAGCTGGATGGGCCATGGAGACATCTGCAATGGCGTCTCAGAGGCTTGCAGTTAGCAGGGATTTGATACACAAGCTTTGGTTACGACTGTTGCTTGAATCATTGCTTGCATGGCTTCCTAGCTTGGTTTCTAATATCTGTTTCCATTAATTTAATCAGTGTTGTAATTATAACTAATGGCCATCTTTTATCAGCTGTTATGTTCATTAAGGTGTTAAGTGAAGAGTATGTGTTACCACTGATTCTTTATCTGCCTTTTCCATGTCTCTTTCTCCTTTGAAGGTAAGTTGCATGGAGTCATGTGAAGAGACACCTACCATAAGACGACTCAGCAGTCATTTTTGTGGTTGTTAGTCTGTCCTTACCTCACAGGCATCTCGTTTTCCTGACAGGAACCCAGCACATATCATTCCTGATGACACAGCACCGCCATATACATGAACCTGATTGCACACATCATTATGGATGACCTCCACTTCAACTTGTCGGAGGGTATTTGGAAGTGGACCTAAATAAAAGAAATGAACAGATGAATAATTCCCACCTTGTGGCCATGATAATTAATTATTGTGGCTTCTAAAGGACACATTAGCCTTGAAGTTTTAGGATTCTGGGGTGGATGACAGTGTTCAGAATAAAATTATTTTTGAGGGTACATTTTCTGTGGAGATACCTGTTTTGGCACATTTATTTCTTCAGTATTATCCAATCCTCATAACAACCACCAAACATAGATGTGTCCTTTTTCAGTTGTGACATCTGAAACTTACTGGTTTGGAGTCTAAACACGGTCACATAGTTAAATGGGGGACAAGTCTGTAAGTCCAGGGTATTTCTTACCACCTGGAGGAGTCCATCCCTGATGGCTACCTTACCTTATTTGGAAGCCTAATGCACTGTTTTACAATGATATTTTCAGAACTGGGAATCCTTTAGGAAGAGCAGTACTACTAAGAAGTAACTTTCATATTGATAGAATTTTATTACTTTATAAGAAACACCATGTTTATTTTGAAAGTAACTTGACTTGCTAACAAACACCAGGATAAGCAAAATGCCAAGATAACAAGCGCATCATGTTTTATTCACCAACCATGTACTTATTGGTTCATTATATGGAAATATTTAGTTGCATGTGGTATTGTTTTAGACATTATATTGTGCTCATTTCCCCTTAAGAGCTCCTAGCTTAAAAACTACATTAATTATACACATAAAAGTGTAACCCTACTAAAAGTAATTTCAAACTGAGGAGGTGAGCAATTCATTTGACTATGAATTTGAATGGAGTCAGGCCAAACTGTGCTTAAGAACCGTGGTCTTGGAGATAGTAGATACACATATGAGTACGATTTGCACAATTTGAGAGTTATATGACCTTGAAAAAGTTACCAACAATCGTTATACTGATTTGTAGGAAGGAGAAAATGATGCCTAGCTTGTTTCTTGTGGGAGTTAAAAATAATGAATAAAGTCAGTTATGATAGTGCCTCACTCCGTATTTGGTTTTTGATATGAGGCCATTTGTTTACATTTAACAAATTGTTACAATAAAAGACCCACTGTCATTAATCCCTCTCAAAATGCTGTGAATGCCATCCTTCTTGCCACTGTCTGACACAGTTCTGGAAGTCCTCTTTTATGAGTGTCTTTAAGAAGTGTGATTAAAAAAATAGCAAATGCTAATGCTGAGTGGCTTTGAGTGGAAAGTCAGGCTCATAAAATCATTTCCATTTGTCCTCATGCTCCTTATGCTCAGCTCCGGGTTCCTAACTCTTCCCCAAAACCTAAATGACCATGAAAGGTTAATGTTTTGAAGCAGTTCAGGACAGTGATGCAGCCATGAGTGAGACTAAAATATTCACAAAAGAGAACTTCCAGAATGCTTCAGAAAGTGGCAAGAACATGGGAGAAGTGTGTTTGAAGTAAGGGAGAGGATTTGAGAAGAAATTAGTAACAATGTGTCTTTTACTGCATAATTTAAACATTCACCACAGTTTTTGATCACACTTTGTAAATGGAAGTTACTGGATGAATTGTAGCTATTAAGGTTATACATGTAAACTCCTTAAAACTGCTCTTCAGTGTTACATGGATAGTGATTAAAAGCTTTACAGGAAAAGATCTAGAATTCCAGGAATTTTGTAAAGAAATTTCCGTATAAAAAAGTCCACTTTTCTGTTTTGAGACTTTTAAATTTACTTACCTTTCTGCTGAAAAACTAAGTCTAAATTCTTTATAATCGTTAAAAGATTATCTAAGGTCTAGGGAATCTCTTGACTTCAATTATTGTTTTTAAATATGGAATTGTCATTAACTATTTTTTCTTCTTTCCATCTCTGGCTCTGCTTGAAATGTTACTAGTGAGAGAATCTACACACCGTTATACAGTTTATCGCACAATCTCAATATTGTTAAAGTACCTCAGCAATATTCTATTTTGCTTTGTATAGAAACATTTAAAGTTTTACATGTTCTTAGTGTTTAATAAGCTATAATTCAATTGGTTGTAGTTTTTGAATATGCCTTTTAATTTGGTTAATTGGTCTAGGATGCTAGTTTTAAATTTGTAAGTGCTAGTAATTCTTTAATCACAACGTTTAAAAATCAATTCACTTGCTGACAATATATCAAGCTATTTTAAATTTATACTACTCAAGGAAGGAATCACTCAGAGGAAAAAAAAAAAAAACAAATCATTCCAAAACTGGCCATCCATAATTTGAGGTTTGAGTAAGAAGCACAGATTAATGGAAACAATAGGTTGCTTGCTATCTGATTATAAATAGATATGATTGGATGACTCTCAGGAAGAGAAGACTTGAGTAGTCTTGTATCAGTTTCAAAATATAGAAGGAAACCATTACCTAATATTTATTAATTAATCTTAGTCTGATACCTTACAAATCCATAATATTGCTTCCAAAAACTATGCAATTTGTCAGGGTAGACACTTCATTGTGTGTGACCCGCACACAATCTGGCTTTGAAAAAAATCAGACAAAAAATACCAAATTACCCTCGAATTACCAATCTGGGGTGAAGAGGTGCTAAATTTAGTTAGATTTAGATGAAGATTAATATCGTTATGCAAGTGGTAGATGCTTCCCATTTCCACTCTGATTAGAGTTTTAAAACTTAAAGGGTGTGATTCCCTTTTCTCCTAATCACCATTCCTTACAGAACAGTGCAGCTGCTGCCGGATGGGCAAAACAGCTCTCAGCTGCTATGAATAGTACATCATTCTGCACCAAGCACAGCAGCAGGATTTTCAGGCGCGTATTGGAAGCAAATAGACTTCTGTAACAATGAGCTGATAAACCCTGAGGACATCACACTATAGTTTGAGCAGGTGCATGAGTCAGATAGAAACTCATATTAAGAGCCTTGACTAGAAATAGGGACTATAAGGGCAGCTTAAACCATATGTAGTGACAAAACAGGAACTGGAGACTTATATAAGGACTTAATAATCTATGCATGATGTTTATTGAATATGATTAAATGTGGTAAAATTCCGTACTTTTCAGCTTTTTTTCTTTTTTTTTGGTACTGGGGATCAAACTCAAGAATCCAGGACCTCACACTTGTCAGACAGGTGTTTATGCAGGTGAGGTAAATCCACAGCCCTTTTCAAGTTTTCTTTAAGGTCTCAGGCTCAAGAAGAGTCATAGGAATATGGATCTGTGAGGTTCTGTCTAATGTTTAGTGCCAAGAGGTCAGGGATAGAGCTCAGTGGCACTGCGCCTGCCTGGCAAGCACAAGGTCATTAGTTTGATCCTGGTACAAAAAAAAAAAAAATTAGTGCCAAGGAGAGAACAGTCCATCAGATTCCTTGCTCGAGGCTATTTGTTCCGTTGTTGACTCTTCGGAAGTATGTCCTTTCTGGAGCTTCTAAAGCATGCATTTTATGAGTCAGTCAGCTAAGCATAAGCTCTATATATCAAAAAGAGCAACTAAAAGAAAAATATGTACACAGTTGCATAACTTGGTCTTGTGCTTTATTTCATATCTCCATTCTTAAAGAGGGTGGGTTTATTTACTTATTTTTATAAATTTTTCTTACTGGGTTTGTTTTGACTGAGATACGTACCACTTGCTTTCAGTGCCCCCCATCCAGTGACAAACACGTTACTCTTAGGCAGGACTTCAAAATCAGCATCTGGGAGGCAGACTCTGTGTACATTTTCAGAAAACAGCACAGGGGCCGAGAGCTTCACTACGGCGATGTCGTCCTCGTGCTTGTGGGCAGCGTAATTCTCATGGACAATAATGGACTGCACCTTCCTTCTTACCAGCGGAGAGCGGAGGGTTGTTCCAAAGCTGGCCTCCCACAGTTTAGGGTTCTTGTGACTGGTAACAGATGAGAGGGGACATGGTGGGTTCATTTCTGACCTGAAGTTGCCCGGAGCTCTGGATGGGCCCGGGCAGGAGCCAAAGAGAAGGACCAAACTTTTAACCAGGTATCGATGGAGACCTCCTTGTCTCTTACTTGAAACCTTTCCCTGAGGGTAACAGATCCCCATCACAAGGTAGCCTGCGTTAGTCTTTTGGAGAAATCAGAATTTTTAAAGGAAATAATAAAGTATTGCCATTTTGTTATAAAAGTAAGAGATTAACTTTTGTTATAAAAATAACAAAAGTTATTGTTTTGTTATAACATTTGTTATAAAAATAAGAAAACATAAATATTAGGCATTTAAAAAAATATGTGCTTGCACAGATACCAACACGCATTCATACACATGCCCAGATTATATAAATGTGTGTGTAACTAAGGAGAAATAGAGAAACAGAGGAAGGTACAATTAGAGGTCTGCTTTATATAATCTTTTCATGCATCCTTTTACTGACATTTTATTTAGAATATTTTATTTATATGAATTTCACTAGGATTACTGTATCTCTTTATTATCTCCAGGTATCTCACATGTCAAATCTTCAAAAAACATTCTAAGTGTTTTTTAAAAATTCTTTAATATTTCTACCCCTTTTTTCTGTTTTGCTTTTTTTTCTTTAAATAAAAAATCTTCAAAAACCAAACAATAAAAGTACAGCACTAAAGGTATTCACGTGGGATACCAGCGTGTGTAAATCGCAGGCTGGGGTGCGGAGAAGAGTTTGGAAACCCTCGCGCGTCTCTCAGCAGCCTCCCCAGCCTAGGTTTGCTCCTAGTTAACACTTTCAGAGGGAGTTGAAGACCGGCTGCACTTTTCTTACTGGTCTCTGAGAGGCCTCCTTGTGCCCCGAGCCTGTGCACACCTGCACACCTGTGCCTGCCAGGTGTCCTGGGCGGTTCTGGGGGAGGGTGGGGGCGCGCAGGTGGGAGAGGGCGGGGGAGGGGAGGTCGCTGGGACTCACTAGTCGAAGCAGTGCGCCGCAGTGAGCAGCCAGAGTTCGCTGATGAGGGAAGCGCCGCACAAGTGCATGCCGTCCACCTGCAGGCTGGCCTGCCAGGGCCATGCCGCCGGCGCTGCAGCCTGGCCTTGAGCGATTCTCTCCACGGGTGGGTACTCCATCCCCAAGCCACAGCCTGTCAGGCAGGAAGGAGTCAGAGGGTCATTTACAGAGCTGTAACTGTGCTCAGGTACATTAAGCACATAGTTAAGTATGTAAACTCTTTGGGATGTGCCTTGGCCTTAAAAATCCATTGAAATTAACATTGCACATAATGGAGTAATAATTATTTGCATGGATGAAGTGTGATCACTCCAATTTTAAACAATAATATTAAATACATTCTTTGGCATATTTCTAGCAAGTTCCCTTTAAAATTTGCTTGGGTCTTGCTTTTTGAGCAAGTTCATGCGTGTGGCATGTTCATACGTGTGCCAATTTACATCAGTGATATTGACATTTTTTGGGGATTAAGTGCATACCACATACTGTCGAAAAACCACATTTTAACTTTTTTGAGATATTCTAAAATACATTACATCGTTATACAGGAAGTTTCTACATGAAGATTCTGTATTGGTGGATGTCATTTAATTTTTATCCAAAATTTTCTACTTTAACATAGTGAATCAAATACAAATACATTTGATAAAAACTCAAGGAAATTGCTGAAGGATTCATCATAAAACTTACACTGGGAAAGAAAATACTCTCAAGGATTCTGTATAAATATTCCCAGCTTGTCGTAGCACCTCCCGCCCCACTGGGGACAATTGGATCACACATGCATTTGGACTTATTACACACACTTGAGAATCAGTAAACAGGGAGTAGAAAAAGTAAAAGCGGTGCAGTTTCCTTCTTAATTTATACACATTGCCATAATATTTTTGAACTTACAGCTGTTCAGGAAATGCTGTGCTTGTGCTCTGTTTATTTCTAGAAAAAGCAAAACCATGATCAGTGTGAGGCAATGAGACCATTTTAATTTAGAACACTATGCCTGTCTGGCATGAATTTTTCTGCCTGGAAGAAAAATTCCCGTTAGTCAGAAAATTCTTAGAGTCAATAGAATAAAGTTCTATAAAAGGTTCTATGCAAATTAATTCTGTGTGTGTGTGTGTGTGTGTGTGTGTGTGTGTGTGTGTGTGTGTGCAGGGTGGGTGTGTGTTACCTGGATTGAACCAGAGTATCCTCCCAGTTTTTTCTCTTACTTTTTATTTTGAGATGGGGATCTTGGTAAGTCTCTAAATGGCCCAGACTGGGCTCAAACTTGTCATCTTCCAGCTCAGCCTTCAGAGTGCTGGGATTACAGTGTATGCCACTGCTGCCAGCTAAATTAAATTCTTCTGGGTATGTGGGGAACCCAGGAAAATCTGGGATGTGACTATAAAATCATTAGCATGGAAAAAGATATTTTTGGCTTGAAGGGAGAAACCATCAAGTTAATCAAGGCCACAACAATTTATTAAAGTAGAAGTTAAACAAAAAGGCCAGTTTTACTGGTTTCCAGTATATGTCTGGAGACCTTTTCCTTTGATTCAAACACATAATGTGTTGAGATGAAAGGCGGTCTAAGGTTTCAGTAAAGTTACAAAATGGGTCTTTAGGTCAAACTTTAAAGATGAACATTGCATTCATAGGGAGGGAACCATGCTCAGGTGTTTATTGGAATAAGATCCTTTAAATTAGGTGTTTTTTTTTTTCTTTTTTCTTTTGGTATCAGGGATGGAACTCATGACCACGCACTTGCCAGGCAGGTGCTTATGCCACTGAGCTAAATCCCTAGCCCTAAATTAGGTTTTGCCAACAATAACAATTCTCTGGTGGCTTCTGGCACTTAGAATAAACCCAGATTTCCTATTGGGATCTGTATGACATGCTCTGTATGATGGAAAAATCTCATCTGGGAAAGTTTTCGTTGTCAGGTCCACTGACCTCCTGACGCCCTGGCCGCCTTGGGCTTCTAGTTTCTGCTTAGAAGTGTTCCTGCGGACAGCCTCTGTTTCGGCTGGCCTGTTTTTCAGCTGTGCTATTCCCCTGGCCTTTTTACAGTTAGTTCCCCCTCTCATTCAGCTCGCAGCTTGAAATTCCTCTCCTTATAAGGCTTTCCATGAAAACCAAATGTAAAGTTCACTACTCTCTGTTCTCTGTTATCTGATATTACCTGTTTATTTAGTTAGGAGATTATTATTTTTCTTACTTCAAGCTCTACGAGGACAGAGATTTCAGTTCCTGACTTTTTGCTGAGTGAACAAATGAATAGCAATTATAATAATTTGCTACACCCTCTGTGCCAGATAGTGTAACAAATACTGTTTGCTTATTATCTCTTCACACTAATAATTACAGTAGTGCTCAATATTTGTTGATTCTTTTGTGCATTTAAAAAAGTGTGTATTTGAAGTATTTGGAAAAAATTCATCTGATATATATCATGTATATATTTTTAGTCATTATTTTTTAGACATGGTCTCACTATATCATTCAGGTTGGCTTCAAACTCACAGCAATCTTGCCTCCCAAGTGCTGTGATTACAGGCGTGTGCCACCACACCTGTTTTGTTTTATTTCTTTTTAAAAATAATACAATATAACAGACACTTTTGAGTACACAACACTTGTATTAGGTACTATAAAAATCCAGAGATGATTAAAGTACATGGGAGGATGTGTGTACATTTGTACAAATGTGACACCATTTTTTATGTAGTATTTGATACCAAGGGATAGCTGTACTCTGAAAGTTATCAGGTAGCAGGAAAAGAGCTCTGCAAGCTGGAAAGAAGAGAGAAGGACAAAGCATTTCAGAATTTGAGGAAGTACAAGATATTCCTCAAGTAGGTTTGAGGGCTTCCTTTTCATCTCACACAAAATCTATATTGGGAACCAGGATGGCCTGCAATCTGTAACGATCAGCAACAAAAGTAAAACAGTTCCAAGGAAAGTCTTCTCCATGTGTGCAAAGTACTGGGAACAGAGGCCAAGTAGGAGGCCCAAACTCTTACCTGAGCATCAAAGCCTGGCAGCCATTCTTCTAGAAGAGTGCCCGCCAAGATGCCCTGCTCTTCGCATACTTCACATTATACTCAGCACTATCTGGCAGCCTAAAACACTCACAGAGACATGTGCAGCCACTTGTGTCTGCCCAGTGGTGCAGTGGGCTGATGCACGACAGCCCGGAGAAACAGCATCTGCTCCCACATGTACCACAGGAGCGGAGCTGAGAGGCAGCACCAGCAGCCAGACCAAAAACCTGAAACTGAAGTAGCAAATGTAGGCAGGAGTCTACACTCCAGATCTAATCAGGCTGACTGCCTGCTGAACTGAAGCTTTAAATCTGATCAAGAGCGTCCTCACATAACAAAACTAACATGTTCAGCATACAAACAAAAAACTACCACAACTACAACAAAAAAGGCAAACTGCAATTTTCATAAGAAAAGAAAACTAATACTAATTTTGAGATGAATAAAAGACTAGAAGTATCTCACATGGATTTAAAGAGCTTCCATATATATAATTTAGAAATCAAGTCTAATTTCTCTTGAAACACATGAAAAAATAGGATATTAGCAAAGCAATAGAAGTAATAAAAAATGACCATAGAAAATTTTGAAACCAGAGGGTATAGTGACTAAAATCATAATAACAACAACAGTAATAATAATAAATCAACTTGCTTGATTGTGCCAATAGTGTACCACAGTGAAGATGACAGGGGATAGAAGCAGTGAACTCATAGACAATTCAGTAGAATTTACCCAGTCTGAAAAACAGAGCAAAATAGACTGAAAATAAAATCAACAAAGCCTGTGGGATACTAACAAAAAAAAAACTAATATATTATTCATGTTTCTAGCAGTAGACTAAAGACTGTGATACTAAAAAAAGAATGAAACACTATGGTTAAAATTTTGTCAAGAATTGGTGAAAGACAAAGATCTACACATACAAGAGGCTGAGAAAACCCAGATGGAATAAACTAAAAGAATTTCACATCAGACTGACCACAATTAAACTAGTAAAAATTAAAGAGAAAAATAAAGAATCTTAAAAACAAAGAAAATCATACATTACCTATGAAGGAATGCTATTTTAAAGATATGAGGTTTTTATGTGAAACTATAGAAGCCAAAAGGAAATACTATAGAAATTTTCAAGTTCTGAAAGAAAGAACTATCAATCCAGAATCCCATGCTATGTGAAAATATCCTTGAGGACTAAAGAGAAAAAATATATATTCACAGGTGAAAATATTAGGTGAGTACTTCGACGTTAACAGACCTGAAGGACAAAAGGTTGCCAAACAGCATTCTTTGCCAGCTAGAGTTAGTGAAGAGACAGACCGTGGTGTATGATACATTTCTAATCCTTCCGAGTTCTGAGAGCCCAACCGCACCATGGAGCACCCTGGGTGTTCAGGTCATGTTCATCACAGTACAGAGTTGCCTGCTTCCGCAAGGCACACAGCATTCCTGGTTGCCGTGGCCTGTGGCCCCATGATAGCAGGAAATCAAACCTGTAAAGACCTTTCTGCCTTGGAACAAGTCCTCAATTAGATTAGGTATTTTTCCCCCTAAATTTCTTTTATAAATTTCTTACGTGGTTAAGGTCCCTGAGTGGACAGTGACCATCTGAAAACAGCAAGGAGACATTGGGAATTCCAAAGCAGCCTCTAAAGAAAGCATCACCAAGCACACACTCTATCTCCATAGGGCAATGGTGATTGCTGTCCTTCCCTAAACCCCAGGGCTAACTTCTGCGTGCATAAAAAGACTCCTAAGTGTGCACTCGGTGGAGGCTCTTTCCTGGCACTGCCTGCCTTCTCACTCGGAGGTGTATCTTTCTGTCTGCTTTGCAGTAAACTCTCCCTGTACTTCTGCATCTGTGTCACTACTAAACTCTCCCACCCAAGACACAGGGGACCAAGGAGAAAGGACTGGTTCCTTGCAGTTTCAGAATCCAGCTTCCTGGCACCAAAAAGAGACTTAAGGGATTTATTTCTAACGATCCTATTCTTGGCAGCCAGAAGAAGCACGGCAAAACAAAAAAATAGATGATAACTAAGGGGACTAGAACATCAGAAAGAAAAGAAACACAGAATGCATAAAAATAGAAATAAACCTGGCTGATGGTTTTTTACTTCCTGAATTTCTTTGCACAACAGTTGTAAGAATCTTTGTTTAATCTTATACCTCACATATTTCTCCACCAGTTCATTACATCTGTGTTGAAAATGAGGCTGTCTCTATGCCCGGGACAGTTTTTGTCAGGGTCTGGCACCCTCCTTGTCCTTCTGTCCACTCCATGAGTGGGCCAACACTACCAGCCTGGCACTGCAAGAGGATGCAGTGCCCTGAAGAGCCCAGGTCACGCCACGCACCATACACTGTGGTTCATGAGTCCACAGCACCTTCACCTTCTGGTTTCAGACTGAGACTGCTACAGAGAAAAAGCCAGCCTTTGCAGTTACTGTGTCAGGAGCATAATGCAGGTTTTTATCTCAGGCAGATTTCCTTCAAGCCATTTCAGTAAGAATTTTTTTTAAAGAGCATAGATCCTACCGTCTTTGAGTAAGCATACAGGTCTTGTTTTATATCATAGCTTCCCTAATGGGTGAAGACATATAATCTTTGGTATTATGTGAGGATTTGTTTATTACCAATAGTTAACATATTGTAATTGATAAGTTTTATTTTATGGTCAATAAAGAATCTTTTTCTGTGGATAAGAATATTGTTGAAATCATTAGCCATAAAAATGGAACAAAAAAGTAGTGCTTCTTGCCTCTAAGATAAGGTAACGAAGTATCTATCTTCAAGAAGCTCTCATTGGATTTCAAATTCTTATGCACAATCGTGTCAGCTTGTCTCTTTAGAGTGTCTGCATTCTTAGAAGTAAATTTAAAGTTGAGCAGTACATCTGCCTTTAAACCAGGATTATTTGGCCTGTAAAATGAAGGGAACAGAATGAGTGAGGTTACAGCCGTAGAAATCAGTATGTCCTACATTAATACTTAAATATAATTACCTCTCCAAAAAAACATAGTAAATGCTTTGTCATTTTGTTATGATTTTCCCCTCATATATTACACAGCTCTATGTCTTTATGTATTTGTTTAGATGACCTTAACAAATATTAAAGTCACAGCTTTCCAGCCCTCCTGTTTAGAGGCTCAGCAATGCAAGAACAAGGCTTGAGAATCTTCATTTTTTTGTGTGTTTTTTTTAAATCAATATATGTTTGCAACACATAATTACATTCATCTCGGGGAACTGGTGTGCATACATGTTACACTTCAATCATTTCAACTACACAGATATGAATACCTGGATGCGGCCTCGCTTATAAAACCTGGTCCTATTCAGAGAGGTGCAAATGAGTGCCTGACAGTTCTAGAATTTCTTTTTTCTGGAAATTAATCAAGTATTAAATTCACTAACTATGTATATCCTGTCTATATTAACATAGATTCTTGCATTTAAAAATTCATTATAGCTGTTAATAATTTGTGAAATAAAATTGAGACATAAGTAATGATTTAAAAATCTTCAATTAAAATGCAAAAGTCTTTAAAGAGACAACCAGTAGGACATATTTCAATTACTGAAGCAGCTCTGCTACTATAAATACTCTGTACCGGAGAAAAAACAATGTGATAACATTATGTCTGCTTTTTTTCTTGCTATGTCTAAAATCTTAAATTCTGTTCACAAAGAAAATAAATGAAAAGTGACTAAATAATTCAAGATTTTTAAAAATCATAGATTAGTTAATTATGATTACCTAAAGTTGACAACATGAGACGTTATGTAATGTTGGTTTAAATTGGAACTTTGAAATATCTTGTCTATCTGTAAAAAGAAAAAACACAAATTTGTTAAAAATGAATTCACATATTTTAATATATCACAATGTTTAAAGTCTATTGAGATACAAACACCATTTATTTCAGAGTTTATAGTTATTTTCCAAAAGCTCATTTAAACATACTTATCTCTATAGTTGGTATTGATATTTGAGCAATTTGCTGTATGTTCACAGATGACTGATGCAAAGAATAAACACTTAAATGTTTTTCCAACTAGTATAAAATTTAGGAGTTGGAAGTATGGCTATTTGAATATCTTTGGAAGATTATGAATGGATGTGTTACCAAAGATCTTTCAAACTCAACTGTCAGACTTATGGATGTGATTGAAGAACTGGTGTATAAAACTTTTTTTTGAAAATTTTAGGTCAAGCTTTGACTCTGTGAAAAATAGGGGATAGGAGGAAAACATATATGTATTGGACACTTTCCTTAAGCCAATAACTTATCAAGTAAAATGCATGGAATGATTACTTAGAAGAAGTAGTCAGCAGTGTGCTTTTAGATTTCCTACAAAGGATAACACCTCTGTGGTGAAAATGCCTAGATCAAATTATTTCTTAATGGAGCTGCAGCATGTTACAGAATCTGTGGTGCATGGTAATAATAAGTGGTAATATTAGGATGTGTGGTAATAATAAACCTGTTTATTGCCAATGACTCACCATATGCCAAACCTTCATTAAGCCTCAGTCTGAATAGCTAATTCCATACACATTACTTGAGAAGAACTACCACATTGTAAAACATAATGCATGTTAACTGCTTTTCACTCATCTAGATTAATTTACTCACTTTTCATCAGTGAGATATGATACCATGAATGTGTTGATGAGAAGTTTATAGAAAAAGAAATAGTTGTTTTTTTAAAAAACCCCAAATAGCCATATGTTTTACTTGTAATTGATTAGAAAGTAATTTTTTAAGAAACAGTTTTTCTGTACCTATATAATTTATATAACAAAACGAATATATATGCACGGTAAAAAAAAATTTTTTTAAAGCAATCACTCAGATTGCAGGTAAGGATGTTGGTTAGATAAGAGCAGAATACAGAGGCTCCCTGAAACAACTCAGATGCCAAAATAACACAGTGTGGGGAGTCCCGGACAGAGGGAGATGGATCCTCTCAACCCAGGAAGAAACTAAAGCAAAAAAGAACCAGTGAAACATGCCAACTAATATTGAGGCAGCTAAGATTCTGTGCTCTTGTGTGCCCAAATTCCCACTGCTTTATCTCACTGGAACCACAGTCACACTGAAGTGCAGTAACCAAGTCGGAGGTTGGCAAGCCCAGTGGAGAACGGAGCTGGCAAGGGACCTGCATCGACTTGAGATGAGGGGCACCAATGGGATGACATTTTGGAACTGAGCATGCCTGGCAAGAACAAGGAACCGCAGTGACTTCAGTCAGTTGTTCCCTTCTCAAATGAGATTGGTGGGATGTGCTTGGCCTGGGTCATGCCTGTAGCTGAGACCCAATAAGTTGTCCCAAACTAATTCCCTATACACGGCACACACTAACACAGTGAAGGCCTCAGCAAGTTGACTGACACAGAGAGGAGGGGCCAGCATATGCCGCCCCGGTTTGCACCTCAATAGCACACTGGAGTGGGCAAGATCACCTAGCCAGCATGCTTCAGAACTGTAACTAACAAGGAAAAGGACTGGGGCCTCCTCTATATCCCTGTATGGAAGAAACAAAAAATACAAGAAGAGGAAGCAACAAGAAAAAGTCCCCAGCCCCGAACCCTGAAAACATTGATCCAGGAGAAGCAAATACAAAAGAGATTAAGGACAGCAAACATGCAATATCAGACACAGCATCAGTGGACATAAAGAGATATGTTTGGGATCTCATAGATGAGTTCAAAAGTGAAATATTTAACCAAGTAAAGCAAGATATAAGTAGATTAATAAAAGAAATGCTAAGCACCTCTCAAGAAGACACAGATGGAAGAGTGGAGGAGCACAAAAAAGGAGAAAAACATTTGATGAAGAATATAAAGAAAACATAGAATACATGAAACAGGTTAACATAGATTATAAGGAAATTAAAAACTCCATTGAAAGCTGGCAAAACTACTTGAAAGAAACTAAGGATAGATAATCCAAACTAGAGGACAGGTTTGCAATGTTGAATCATGAAAGGAAAAATTTCTTTAACAAGGAAACACAGTAAAAATGTACAGGCTAGAAGACGACAAGAGGATCTATAAGTTAAGAATATAGAATGTGAATGAAGAAGCAGAGGTACAAACAAAGGGACAACAAAGGATATTCACAGAAATAATTAAGGAAAACTTCACAGGCATAGGAAAAGGAAATGATATTGAGATGTATGAGGCATACAGAACTCCAGCCACCTACAACTAAAACAGAGCTACACCCAGGCATGTAATAATCAAGATTCCAGAAATTCAATATACGAACGGAATATTAAGCTGACAGAGACAAGAAACAGATAACCTATAAAGGAAGGCCCATCAGAATTATGTCAGACTTCTGGACACAAATCATCAAATCAAGAAGAGCTTGGAGTGAAGTATTCCAAGCCCTGAAAGAAAATAACCTCCAGCCCAGATTGATGTATCCTGCAAAACTGTCTCTAGAAATTAATGGAAAAACAAGATGCTTCCAAGACAAAGAGGAACTGGGGAAATTCATGACCACCAATCCAACTCTACAAAGAATACTGAACAACGTTCTAGAGAGAGAGAGAAGTACCAGGATTCCAGGAACAGCAGCAGAGAGGCCTCAATGAATGGAGCAGAAAGTGGAATGAAGAAGAAAAGTAGACAACTAATGGCAGAAAACAGCACAACAGAAATGAGGCAGAGAAGGTTGGTTATAATTTTTAATATAGATGGCCTTGATACACTAAAAAAAAGAGAAACACAAGCAGAGTAAATCAGCAGATAGGATCCACCAAGATGCTCTTTGTAGGAAAGATAATTAACCCAAAAAAGGGTTTATGGACTGAATATCAAATATGAGAAACAGTACTCTATGTGACAGGGAACCAGAGAGCAATAGGGGCAACTAGACCAGTATTTGTGGGTAGATTGGAAAGACAGGGTTTAATAGGTAAAGGAATACAATTAGAGATCAAGTTTAGGAGGGAGAAGGTTCGGAACCACTTAGGTAAATAGCAGGTTGCCCCTCCAATCTAAAAACTGAGGGTGCTGGTGAGACCCAAAAATGCACAATGCACCCTGGGGGAGTGAAAGGGGAGGAATAGTCTTTAAAAAGATGGCATAAGATATTGTTAATAATGTATCAGGATTTAAAACCCATATTGCTCACACTACTCTGCTTAGATAGATTTTATTCAGTCCCAGATTGTCTACTTGCACTAGATCTGAGGGCACAGACAGCTATCCCCAAAATAGCAGGCTATAGTACAGTAATCATCTTTAATTTCCTATTAACTTAATCTGGATCCTTGTATAACTTATAATGTTTTATCATGACTGATCTTAGTTAAATCTGGTTTGTTTGATTGCTGTTTGGTATCGACAGATTTTATTCAAAACTGTTATGATTGACAGTATCAAGTCTGAGAGTATAGGCAACTACACTGAAGATGACAAGATTCACTATGATACCAATTCTGGTTTGATTACTACCTGTTTTTGAAGTTTTACACTAAAAGTTGTTTCTAATAATATTGTTATGTACTGCTATATTCAATTATACTATGTCTGATAATATAGACAATTCTATTGAAGACAACAAGAGACAATACAGTAACCATGGTAGAACTCCTTGTACAGTGGTTTTATATGTCTTTTTCATTTCATGTGTTTATAGGAATATGTTTTGTTTTATCTTGCTGTTTTGTTTCTCCCTCTAATATAGAAAGGATAGAAATATATGTTAATACTCATGCATGCATAGAATCTATAAACAGTTTACGAGAACTGATCTTATAATGCATGAAAAAATGAACAAATACTTTGAAGAAAAAGAGATACTATAGTACCTAATGCTGATCCTGTAGTGTCATGATGCGAAATCCAGTAATAGTATTATTCTTTGTTCAGAGTGATTTTAGCCTACTTTTGTTTGTATAATCTCAACACAAATGAAGATATGGATAAGTGCATGTATGTTCAAGTGTATAAGATTGATAACCATATTACTAAGATTTGTTGGATAGTTGAACAGAACTGTTTGCAGTCTCGCTGTTTAAATCCCTACTTTGTATGTTTCACTTTTGTATCTTGAACAATTGTTTGTAAGAGGACAATATGTAATCATCAACTAGTGATTTCCTTTCTTTTTATCGGTACCGGGGATCGAATGCATGACCACCTGCTTGCAAGGCAGGTGCTTATGCCGCTGAGCTAAATCCCCAGTTCCAACTAGTGATTTCTTATTGTTTATTTTTTCTTTGAAAGTATGTGTTATTTCTATCCATCTTCTGTTTTGTTTAGTCTTTCTTTAAATAAAATTACAACAATAAAATAAAATTTAAAAAAGCAATCACTCAAGGAAAGTATAATGAAAAGCATTAAAGGCAATTCTAAATCACTGTCTAGAGTCACAAAAGGCTTTCAGTAGTTGTGCAGGGACCATATTACTTACAAAGTTGAAAATATTTAGTATCTTGTATTTTACACTTCTCTGACTTACGATATAAATTACAGCTTTTCCCTTTTAATATTATCTCTACTTACATTTTAGAGGCCAAGACCTATACTAATGAATTGCTCACTTATTTTCTAGTCATATGCTTGACAAATATTTTCATGGTCCTACCATGTGATGACCCCATGAGAGGTATCAGAAACAAGAACTAAACTTAGCTGTCAAACATCTGCCGTCTTTGTTCAGCATAAGTAAACCTGTAAGCTGGAGCAGACTTAGACATATACCATAATGATGCTGTTTTCAAGTGTTTGGTGCTTTAGCAAAGGAGTATGAAAGTTTTGGGAGAGCATTGGAAACAGATGGAAGCATTGCTTTTCAGACTTTTAATTCGTTACACCTATTAATCCTCAAACTATCCCAGAGAGATAAGTGAAATTATCCTTACTTTGTAGTTGAAAATTTGGATTCAAATCATTTTTTCTTGTTGTTAGAGTGACAAAGATAAACTGCAATATAAATCTAGACATTTCCAACTCCAAAGGTTAGTTTGATCTCCAACTCAATAAATTGCTTCCTGTAACAAAACATACTCTGTCCTTCTTTCCTCAAAATTTCCTGTAGGTAAGTTTCTAGGAAGACATGCCCACCCCAGTTGGTTGCATTCTTCAGCTCATGGCACCAGCTTCCGCTCCTGATTATGAGATGACTCAAGAAATAGTTCTGAACCTGGTGAGAATGCTCTTCCATCTTTGGTCAACGCTGGGCTCAACAGCTGCTGTGTGCACAACCTAAGTTTCCAGCAGAAAAGCTGGTCTGTTTTTTATGTGTTATATTTGGATGCTTGGCATTAAGTTGCCTGCTGGGAAATGTGCCAGGATTATCTACAGATATGTTCTAATTTAATGGTGTATGGTAATATTTTTTGTGCATAAATGATTGAGTTGTTTCTGCATAACTCTAATAATTCATTTTGTGACTAGTTATGGGGTTTTCTATGGGGCTTGCAGTTTTTCATTCTACTATATGATCTCCCATATAATGTATTTTCTAGACTTCTTGAGTTAACACTGATCAAAGTTGCTAGGTAAAGCGAATAAAAACAAAATCAGTTTGAATTTCAGATAAATAATGAATTATTTTTACTACAAGCATGTTTCAAATGTTTCATAGGGATATTTTCACAAATTGAAATTACAGTGCAGTTGGGCATTATATATTCCATCTGGCAGTGCTAATAAGGACATAATTAAGTTGCTCTCAATTTGCCTCTTATTACTCACAAAACAGATGTTTCTGACACTGAAGGCTGACCTATCTCTACTTCAGTATACTGCTTCTCTTAACAAAGCTTTCTGTACTCTGCCATGTTCTGTTCCCTCAATAAAGTTTCCAGTAGTAACAATGTTGGCAAAGCTCATGCTTACCTCATTATTGACTTTTTGTTTCAGGTCAGTTCTAGCCTTTGAGTGTTCCACAGAAAAGTCAGGACTATAGTCAATACTGGGGATCTGGAAAGAGACCTGGTAATAGTGAGCTGTCTGATCTGGAAGGAAGAACAGCAAAGGATGATTTCCATTTTGTTCACCTGAGTTGTATAAACACAAGAAACAAACGGGATAAACAAAGAATGTTATTGTTACAAATAGACATGATTTGTCCCCTGAAGTGTCATGTGCTAGAAGCTTGGAGCTCAGCATAACGGTATTAAAAGTTGGGGGCCTAGTCAGGGATGGCTGGGGTTCTGTGAAGGGAGTAATCTGGGCTGTAGGAGTGGATTAGTTCCGTGAAAGTGGATGTATGAGGAGCAAGCCCTTTGCAGTCTCTGGCTTCTTCATGGGCCGTGAGGTTCACCTCTTACTCTGTCATCAAGCTGCCTTTTCTTCTATGATGCAGCCAGCCCCTCACTGGCTGCCCTCCAGAAAACTAAACTTGTTTTCTTTATAAACATCCTGCTTCAGTTATCTGGTTATAGCAACCGTAACCATTCTGTCAGTTACATAACTAGTGAACTTGTAAAAACTAAACATAGAATAGCTGTATTCAATATATCCCCCAGTTCTTTAAGATTACATATTTTCCTAGTCACCATGATAGTCATATCCTGAGACAAATATTACTTGCTAGAGATAATTAACACATTTAAGCATTAACATATTTTTATGTTTATTTCAAAGTTAGAATTTCTACTAAAACAATTTTGCCATTAGTTTATTAAATATTATTATACCATAAATAAAATAGCATGTGAATTTATTGGTTAAGAAATAATACTACACGAACCATTCCAAATTTTCAATGCTAGAAGTAATACTTATGCATAAAGTTTTCTCAAGTATATGCAAATTTATTCAGAGGAAAATTTTATTCCAAAATATTAGAAAATACTAAGACTTTGAAATAAATTTTTTTGTCTTTAAATTTACAAATTAATACAGTGAAGTGCATGTTTACCATACTCTAAAAAATAAACAAGGAGACCAATAATTAATGCCAGAGCCAACACAATGATTGTAGTAATAAAGGCAATCATCCATGGCTTCAGTGAATGTGTTCTTCTGTCCAGTCTTCCTGGCCTATTGACAGAGACAGAGAGAGAGATATGCATATTAAAAATGATAGGGCTTGAAAATTAACTAATCTCTTTGATGTTGAATTTTTCTTGGAATTCTTTTTTTAATTTTTAATTTAAATTAATTTTAGCTTAAAAACAAAAAAAAGTGATGACATAGAATTTTAAAATGAAACAATGGATCAATATTGGTTAATATATTGTGTATTGTTATCTTCAAAGTAGTTGTTCAGATTACAAGATATAAGCATACAAAGTGATCAAACAATTGAGTAATGAAAGCACAAAATGTTCTTTTTGAAGAACTAACAGATTAGTATTCTTAACTCATACTTCATTTGGTAATACAGTGATGCCTTGATTCAGAACTTAATTTGTCCCAAGTTTTAGAGTAGATGGCACATTTGTGTTTGTGTGGGAAAGATGGTCTTGGTTTGTTTTGGGTATCTAGTAACAGTGGAATGTGTGCGTGGTAAAAACCGTGAGAGTGATATGCAAATGACTGACAAATGGGAAACTCTTGCAGAAATAGGGTAATAAAATAATGTTCAGCCCATTCTCAGTGTCAGGGCCCACATTCTGTCTACACAATGTGAATGAGCAATTGTGGAGTTGAGGCAGGCTGGGAGAGGACTGACATGATTGTCCTGAGAAACTTTGTTCACAGAGAATTTGGACAGGAATATTGTTCACAGATTTCAAGGTGCTGGTTCTTATTCTGTCAAAATTAGGCTTGAAGAAGCAGGAATTGTCTTTCCTGGGAGTGGTACCTCACTGTGAAGGGGAAATGGGCCCACACTTGATACACAGTTGAAGAGATCATTTGAATCGCCCTTGTAGGCAACAGTGATCTGGTAGGGTTGATGATGCACTGGCATCCTTGGGTCTGGGCACAGGAGACTCTAGAGGCAGTTTCCAGCCCTCAAACCATCAGCTTTTCAGGTGGCACCAGTTCTAAATTCTGTTGGGTTTCTGACAAGATACAGTCACTCTCACTTGCTACTACTGAATTTCTGACAGGAGAAGAGCGTTGTAACCTGCAAATACCCAAAGCATCTTCAGAAGACCTCACCACAGCAAGAACTGGTCACATACTCATCTCCTTTACTAGTAGAGATCTATGGCAATTATGAACTCTTTCAGTGACATTTGAGTACCTTCTGCATGTCAATCAATTATCTGCTAGAGACCCAAACTGATTAAGTTGTAGCCTCCTGCTTTTAGGGATGTATGTCTAGAGACACATGAGGTTACTACTATAATACAGTTATGTGTCGTGATGAAGTCATACTCCAGATTTAAACTATGCCCATATTTTAGTTAAGGCTTGCTCTGTTTTTCTCACTATCTTTCTGAGTCAGATATAGAAAACAATTCATAAAAACGACTTGCTTTTTAAAAAAATTCTCATCTGTAAATGATTGTTTAGCTATTGAACTATTGCTCTTCGCACAACAGAAACCTCACTGAGACTCACTTACACTTTTATGTAGTATCACGAGTAAGAAATGCTTTTAGTTCATTTCCCTAACCATGAAGATACACTCTAAAATACTTATCCCTCGATCATTTTTTCTTTAACAAAAGTATTTTCCTCCCTGTTTGTTTTAGTACTCAATTTTAACTTAAACAGTGACTAATTTCCATGCCAGAGGTAGATAAGTGAAAGCTTGTGCTTCATGAATACTTGGCAAATGTTTGTCTGCAAAATAGAAGAATGCATCATAAAGCAGGAAATTGCTGTAAGATATTTGCAACATGCAATCAGTTTTGCTGGAAATTAATTTCTTTGTCCATGAGAAGAAGAGAAATAAGATTATTTACCTGATGTCAAGATAAAATTATAGTTTTTAACTCTTAAATTTGCTAACGGACAATTCTTTCTTTCCTTCTTGAATTTCCCCTCCCCTAGTCCTTACAATTTTGAGAATTTAACTTAGAACAGACTATCCCAGTAGGTGGACTAAACAGGTGCACTGTAGTGCAGGAAAATCAAGTCATAGAAGTCTGTTGTCCAAACAGAAGGAAAATGCTACCTGACGGCTCCTTATGGTATTCACATCACTAGGAAGGTGAACGGTGACAAGAGCTAGCCATTCATCAAGTCCGCAATAGAAGGCTGTCCAAAAAGAGCCAAGTATCTTTGAAAAGCATTCTTCTTTTAACCCATTACCTACCATCACTTAAATCTAAATTGCTTTCCTTATCTTATGGGCTGATACTTCCTGAGAAGCAACCCTTGTCAAAGTGGAAAGAGCTCTTTCTACTTTTTAACATTAATCGTTTCTTTCAGTATCATAATCTTTTACCAAGTGCATGCTCAGATCCTGGCCCCTTAGATCTCATATCATATGTGGTTTTTCCTGGAGATTTTCACATACATCAGCTAAAATGGTGTTGCTCAGTAATTCAGAAATGAAGAATAAAGGGGTTTATTTCTGCCACAGCACTGACAAAGATTTGAAAGGCTCTAAAAGAGGCTGCCTGAGCACTGATGTAGCATGTGAAGATCTGCAGTTATCCTGCCTGCATTCTTATCCTGGTTCCCCAACTGTTGAGCCTTAGGCCAGCATTGATCCTTCTGTGTGCCTTAGCTTCTTCATCAGTGAAATGGGAGCAATAATATCCCCTGCTGGATCATCAAAAAGCCTAACTGAATTTAAGTGTGAGAACACTCAGAGCAGCAGCTGAAATGGTAAAGACTTTGGGGTTTTGTTTACTTTAGTAGTATTGTTTTCAGTAGTATTATATTCAAAAATTGCTGAGAAGCAATTTCAAGGTAGCTTTCATACAGCTTCAGTGGCATTATCTGGTGGGAAGGTTGTACTGGATGGTGATCTTGCAACTCATGAATGCACTGGGGTTAGAACTGGTGCCCAGAGCTGTGGAATTCAAGTAGCAAATGGTGTACGAACTCTGACCAGATTGAGGGTTACACGGGGGGACCTAACAAAGCCATGTTTGTGCCCCGGGTGTTTTCCCACAGACAAAAGAGACACCAAGCTTGAGGGAGGAGGAGAATTCTAGCCTGTAAGAGAACTCACAGGCTCAGAAGGAGGGACACATATTGGAGCATCCATGAGGAAAGAGCTATCAGACAAAGATAATAAATATGGTAGAATGTGACATGAGGTGAACGGGTCATCAAGTTGGACTTTTTAGTTCATTGACTTAAGAAGAGGAAATAATTTGAAAAAAACACCAGTAGGAAGTGGAATTATTATTCATGATAACAGTGGCTGAGTAATCAGGATGATCGGTGTTCTGACTGCACCACCAGACACTATGAGACTTTCATAAAGTTGGTGATGTGGGCACAAACACTGAAGGTATACGAAAGATTAAATGAGACTTGGGTTTTACATTTCATGCTCTGACAAACTGTGTGTCTGTTGTATAATCTTACATAATGTAAATAAGAAAGACGTAGAGTTTCATAACTAGAAAGCTGACTCATTAAAATATGATTAACTGGCATTTTACTAGCCAGAGGTTTAAAAAGGAATAATCAAAGTCTGAGAGTGTTTCCCTTTAGAGCTTTAAATTTACTAGAATTTTCCATGAGGAAAAGTGTTTGTTGAGAGAAATTTAGGTTATTGAAATTTAAATTTAAGTTAAAACCTGATAAGGACCCAAAGGATTGTACAGAGCATTGAAAGAGAGCGCTGGAGGCAGGTGGGGCCCAGGGGCTCCTCACCTTTACTTCTGCCTGTGCTTCTTTTTCTTTTTCTTTCTTTCTTTCTTTCTTTCTTTCTTTCTTTCTTTCTTTCTTTCTTGCTTGCTTGCTTGCTTGCTTGCTTTCTTCCTTCCTTCCTTCCTTTTCTCTCTCTCTCTTTCTTTCCTTTCATTTTTTTAAAACCATTTTCACTTACGCATCCTTTGTCATCAACCATCTCTCTTCTTCTGGTCACTTAACATGCTCACAGGCAGTAGAGGTACAGATGTTTCCCAGTGAGTGAGTCCTTCTGTCATTTTACCTGACTCCTGGGAAGCAGTTCTTATTTGAAAGATAAACTTTGAAAGTTTCAGAGTCTTCCTTGAGTTGGCAAGAACTATTTGGAATGGCTGGAGAAATTGCTTTTCCTATTATTTTTTTTTTGTTTTTGTTTTTGTTTTTTGAGACAGGGTCTCTCTATGGGGTTCAGGCAGGCCTTGAAATCAATAGGTTCATGGCCTCAAGTTCATGGCAATCTTCCTACTTCAGCCTCCTGAGTGCTAGGATGTAGACATGTGTCACCATACCCAGCTGGAGAATTTTCATAAATGCCAGAAAAGAAGGATGAAGACAGGTGGTGACTTGGACAACTTCAGGGCAAAGTAACTTGCACTTAATGAAAGTCCCCTGGAGCCTCTCGAGGCTCTTGTCTCACTGTTCTGTCTTTATTCTTTCTCTTTATTCCTTTCCTTTTTTGCTTTCTTTAAAAACTTTATTAAGATATAAGTCTCATACATATTTTGGGTGCTGATGAGCTATGTGTGTGTCTTTGTTGTATCATCCTAAAGTTCATTAATTTAAAGTATATAAGTTAATGATTTTCAGTACATTCACAAAGTTGTTTAGTCTCACCATTGTGATCTGTATTTTATATTATTCATTAGTTTTGAAGAGATGGGCTCTTACTCTGTGGTCCAGGCTGTCCTGAGCTCACAATCCCCCTGCCTCAGTCTTCCAAATTGTTGGGGTTATAAACAAGCGCCACCACTCCTAACTTCACAGTGTATTTTTTTTAACAGTTTGCATTCCGAGATAGAAATCCATGCTCACTTACAGTCACTACCCATCTCCCCCAGCCCTAGGGACTAGTAGTTTACTTTTTTTCCTCTATAGACTTGTTTATTCAGGGCATTTCACATAAATAGAATGGTACAATGTATGATTTTTCTTGTCTTCATTCATGCTGTAGAATATGGCAAGACTTTATAAAAATAATCCAAAATTTAATAACAAAACAAGATAGTAATAGTCAATGTGCCATGATCAAAATCTTATTACTCAGAATATAA